AGATTTCCAGTAAAACCATTACTATAAAACCACCCACTCCTTGGATGAGGTCCAGCTCCTCGTGGTGGTCAAAGATGGTCCATGATGGTCCATAGTGGACCACTACTCCTCAAGGTGGAAGACAATGTGGAGAGTCTTAGAATCCTCGCACTCCCTTCACTTATTCATTGAACATTTTCTGGTCTTGGTTCTGAATTACTGGAATGACTAAGATACAGGTTCATCCCAGGTGGAGTTCCCAGGTGGCTGGTACATAGCCACGGATGTTCAGACCCTGCCTCAGGCCTGCTATTCGTGAATGCACAGACCTGAGGCTGCAAGTCCACCCCTGCACAAAAGGGCTCCCTCAGTACAGGGGTGCTGGGGTCAGACAGAGCAGGAGGAAGGAGGTACACCCAGGAGCAGAAACCTAGGCAGCTGATGCAAGCCAACGGGCTGCTTTTCTGACACATTTTCAGAAATTGGCCATTTAGAACCTCTATGGCTATTCCGTTAGTGGAACTCATACATTTGGTAGTAGTTGTCTGGGGGAGGCTGTGAATGTTAACTTTCCCTATGGTTTGCTCTAAAAATCATGTAAAGTGTTTTCCTGTTTTCCTTTGGAAAATGTCTACACTACATCCTGACATTTAATCTGTAGCCCTAACAGGGTGACTAATGTGAGCTGTTGGTTCTTGGCTATTTCAAAAGTAAGCCAACTTAATCTAGTAGTAATATCTTTTTTTAGGCTCATAGGAAAAGGAAAAAAAAAAAGACAATTAAGCAACACAAGCAACTAGTGTGCTTTCCTTAAGCATTTTTAGTAAAACAAATGTGTATGTGTTTTTAAAGTTTTGCAGGTCTGGTTTAAATAAAATGTTTAACCCTTTGAAAGCCAGGGCTGTAGCGTGCTTTTAGGGAAGTATAGGGTTTAGGTGGGGTCTTCTCTGTGGCAGCCAATATCTTGGCATTCTAGTGTGTACACAAATCTCTGGTCTATGGGCAGCTGGGAGAAGTTACACAGAGGGTGGGGTAGACAAAACCAAAAGCAGTGCTTGAAGTGTGCTTGGAAAACATTTTTGGATTCAGTGTGAGCCAAAACCATGGGAACTGGCTTGTATCCTCAGGGTTTAAAAGAGATCCAAATAGGCTTACCATGTAGTGGAAATATGAATAGCACCAGACTACAACCAGGCATCCAGGCCTTGGGTCTCACCTCGATGGAAACTAGCAGTACCATTAGCTGGGTTATGACTCTGGGCCTCAGTTTCCTCACTTGTAAATATGAGTCAGTTTCTAAAGCCTTTTCTCGCTCTGACATTGCATGATATTGCTATATCCCAAAAGGGATGATCAGATGTCTGTGTCTCCTTCATGTTTGGCTTCCCAGGGCTCTGGCTCTGTTTGTGGTACAGACTTCCAGGGCTGTAGCCCACGACTGCAGTCCACGAAGAGCGGGGTGGAGATTGCAAATGCTAACGACCACACCAGGACTTCTAAAGGGTCCCTAGAGGTGCAGACCACTTAGGAGACACGGCCGGGAAGCTGCTTCTCTGGATGTGGTCCTGCAGCTCAGTGGGAAGGTCACACTTTCAGGGCCACGCTTAGGAAGGAGCTCTGCGTGAATAAGGGGTCACATTCTCCTCATAGTGACTATAGTGACAGCGGGAGGAGGAAGAGGAGGAAGGGCAGCTGTTCCTCAGGGCTTGCTCTGAGCTGAGTCCCAAGCGGACAGCACTGCCTGTACTGCCCCACTCAGTCCTCTCAGCCACACCATAGGGAAACATCATCCCAGGAAAGAAACCAAGGTTCAGGGAGGTAATGTAGCATCTGAGGAGACGGATTCAAACACAGGCCTGCCAAGTGACGTCAGTATCACGGCGGTCCGAGTCATTCCTTTTTTCTCTCCACTTTTAATTTACAGCTCATTGTGTATTCATAATCGAACAAAAGTGCCGTGCATGTAATGCCAGGACACCCCAAAGATTCCTACCCACCTGTGCATCCAAAAGTGGGTGGAGAACATCTCAGCGGGGACTGCAGATCCAAGGACATCAGTGAGCCTGCCCCACCCACCACTGTTTCTTTTACTTGCAAGGTGATGCCACCTCCTTGGTTGAAATGCTGAAACTTAATGAACTGTACATTATATTTCAGTGCTCCAGTGCTCTGTAAATGGTAAGGATTTTCCAGGAGAATTAGGGTCAGAAACACAACTTCTTATGAAACAAGAAAACCACAGTTTTGTCTTTGAGAAAGCAATCATGCTGAACACAAGAAAAAGAAACCAGAAGCTAGATATCAGACGTAGGCTGGCTGAGACTGCAAACATGGCTGCCCCCTCACTTCCAGTGGGGTTTTAACGAATCTCCATCTTCCCCCCGTCTCTTTAGAAGTAACGATTCCTAGTCTCCCCTTCATTTTTATTTAAACATTGTGCTATATTTTGACCTATACCAATGGATTTGTCTTTGTATTTAAACAGATTCCAATAATCTCCTCAAGGTCCCAAATATGTGTGATTTAGACTCCAAAGATTTTGTGGAACGTGAAAGAAAGTGGCTGTTTGAATAAATTATATATATTCTCTTGGGGACTACCATAAATTAGGAGCAGAATGGGCCAAAAGCAGCATGGAAAGGCAGGAATGAAATGGTCTTTCACAGACAAGGGACATTTTCAGATTTCCAGTCTATTCTTGAGCAACATGAATATTTCTGAACTATTCAACTGAACCATAAGAAATTGCTATTTTGTGGGTCTAACATGGTCAAATATTGGCAGTTCCTCAGGGTTCAATTTCACAAGTGAATTGTCTTGTTTCCCTCGAAGGATTAAGGAAGGATATGAACTCAAAGGACTGTAGGACTCAAATAGACTGAAGTTACGTCCATTTTAGTTGTATTCCCCACCTTCCACCCCAAGCATTTATTCTGTGAACCAAAAAGGCAATGAATGGAAAATGAAACATTGGAGTGTTTAGAAGGGACAGATTGTATGAATGCTACTGTTTGATATTCCTAGATAATTAAAAAGGGCAGATATTTGAATTTAGAGTAAAATCTTTATATATTACCCTGAATTATTTTCAAAGTTCGTATGCAAACTTGACTGACTTTTGTCTACCACAAGTAAGCAGCAAAATCAAAAAGTACTTGACAGGACAAAATTTTCAATAGCTCCAAATCTGAATGCTAATGAAAAAAGAATTCCTGTCAGCTGAAGACCAAATTATTGCTTCTCATTACTAATACATGTACCCACTAGATTTGGTTTATATGTCAGGGCATACATCAAACTTTTTACTCCTGTGCAAAGTTTTCTGTAACTTAGCTGAGGTAATTTCTGAGGGCACAATTAATGGGAATGACAAAATGGCACAGAATATATTAGCGGTTAACTACCAGAAAGACACAAATTAACTTTGGCTGTGGCAGGGCTCACAGTGAGAATTGCAATAAAGCACCAGAGGTGCCAAGGAAGGTTCTTCCTGGAAGAAGTGTCTTGAGGTAGTCATTTCCTCCCAGTACATTCTTCTGTGGAAAGTCCCTAATGGTTGTTTATCTTTTGTCTTCTGTGTTTAGCACCTAATGATGTGGCTTCTCCAACTTCCTCAAGAGCAGGTTAAAGCTAAACTAAGAGCGTTGTTTCTCAACATTCAAAGTTAGAGTCAACTTTGGTTCCACGTAATTTTATATTACAGGGCTCATGCTGTACCAATAATAGATGCCAGATGAAACTGAATACACATGTTAAGCTTTAAAGGATGCCCTGGGGCGAATACATACTTTCCTTATTCCATGCAGCTAATTTCTGATTGGCAAAGAACCACGTTAAGATCAGTCATAATATTTCCTTGTTTTCTTATTTCTTGGATGAAAAATTGAAGCAAACGAATTCTCAAGCCTTGTATCGAGTTAACTGCTAAGATGTTTCTGTACTCATTTCGGCAGTGTATCAACAGAGAGTTCCTGTTAAATCACTTGTCATCTCTATCCACTTCTCCACTGAGGAGAAGTGTATAACATCACAAGATAGAAAGCTCTGGATTATTTTTGATGTAGGTGCCTTTGGCCTATGGTATGCCTACTATGTACTTTTGCTTAAAAACTCCCGTTCAGGAAAACCCTACAGAAGGGAGAAAGAGGATGTTTGACTTCCTCACGGGTGCTTTCACACAATGTATGTGAGGATGGAGTGAAGAAATTATGACTTCTCTAGAAGATGGGTTGGTCCTGAGAGGCTTAGAATCTACTCAGAAGTGAACAACTGCCTGGATTATGTTCTTCTCTTCGAATATGACTTTATATTGTAATTGTCCGTTGAGCACTGTAGCTGTGTGTCACGGTCTGACAACATTCCTCTGTGTTCCTGTAAATGTGCCCGGCTTTCTGTCTGGTGCCTTCATACAGGTCCTCTTAAAGCAAAGCCGCCAGCCCCTCCCACGGAAACAACAGGGGTTGGGATCCCATAAATCTCTCAACCAGAAAACTACCCCAAAATAAGCTTTATTGCAAGAAAAGTGTCATATTTGATACATAGACCTACAAAAACAAACAAGACCCAAAACCATAAGATTTCCTCACAAACACTTGATTACAAATTTACACTGTTTCTTTTTTTTTTTTTTTTAGTTATTAAAAGACAAAACAAAATAAAACAAAACCCCCAACTGGATATAACTGGTTACTACTCTTTGGTCAGCACAGGTGTGAGAGGAACAACCCGGAGCCTGCATGTGCTTTGGCCATTTCACATATGAGGTTTGGTCACCGGTCCAGGGACAGTTTCTTGGGTTGAAAAGAACACAGAGACGTACTCTTATTACAGCACGTTCTGGTACAATATCTTTTTAAATGACTAAAGCAAACTAAACATCAATTCATTGTACAAACATCTTTCATACACAATAGGCTATGATAAAACGAGGCATATGGTGTATAACTACAGTATTAATGAAAGTTCTAAAAAAAAATGGATTTTAAAAAAAACAACATATATTCCTTGGCTGTACTGCATGATTTGTTTGCACATATGGCAATCCTGAAATAGCTTGAACATAATAAATGCACCATTAATCTAAGACAGCACCAAACACTACAGAATGCCAGGTGTTCCTTGCCCAAGGAACGGCAGTTCTTCAGCTGCCTACAGTACCACGAGTCCGCAGCACACCCTGGTAGGAATGAGGTGTTGTGGGTATATATGTGCTTCCTTGAGGTTCTGAGAAGGAAATACAGTACGGTTTGGCCTGCAACGCTACTGGTCTCACAAGCAGTCAAGGTATTTTGCTACAGTGTTGTGCTTCATCGTCGTTGCCTGGTGTGTCTGCTGATGTGAAATACCGTCACAATGAGCTGCTCTGGCTTTGATCTCCTTCAGAAAGGATCGAAGGACATTTCCGTCTTTTAAATTATTGGTTCCTCTGCCCATTCAGCTCTGTGAGGCATTCTTTAAAATAATCAGATGTGTACCAGTTGGACGACTGGCAGGAAACCAAAGGAAACATCTCTTGAATCTACTGAATTTTTAAAAAGCACCTCTAAAAGAAATAGCTCAAATTTATAAATCTAAAGAAAAACAAGTGAGTTTCCCTTTTTGTTTACATAGTTTGTTCATTTCTCCATATATTACTGCATTAAAAATAAATAAACATCTATATTTTTTTTTAATTAGCAACTATAGCAAAATACCCAAAGTGTTACAGACTGCTAACAGGAAATAAAAAAGCTCACATTATTTTTGTGCATTTAGTGCCATATGCCGATCTCTTGAACATTTAGTTTTCTTTTTTTTTTTAATATATTTTAAAGTGAAGTTATCTAAAAAATACAGTAACCACGGTTGCCTTTGTATTCAAATCTTTGGCCACATCAGAGTCTAAATTATCCCCTCCCTGTGAGGGTCAACATTCTGAAGTCTGAGACAGGGAGGGAAGGAAACAAAAGTTGTCTTTTTTTTCTCTTTAAAATTAGTCATTGATTTCTCAAAGGCTTCTGAAGGCAGGCTGCGTGCAGGGAGGGGCTGGCCCCCCGAAACCCAGTCTGTGAGGGGTTAATAGAGTTGAATCTGCAGCCTCATTCTGAGAGCCTCCCCGAGCTCCCCTAGGAGGTAGTCGTCCTCATTGCTGTCTTCCAGTTTCTTAAGCTCCTTCTTCTTGTAGAGAGGGACGCTAGTGATTTCCAGTGTGTACGTGCCGGGCACCAGCTTCCTCTTGGCCGTGTGCAAGTAGCTGAGCCCGTTCCTTTGGTGGATGCGAAAGATGCCGTCGTCGTTTCCTTGGGAGATGACGTACCGGATGTGGTTGTTGAGGGGCTCGATGGCAGGTATGAGTTCCAGGATGTGCTCCTTGGAGCCAAGGCCAGAGAGGTTGAACTTCATTTTCATGGGGCTGTCCATGTCAACGCTCTCCATGCTGATCCGTTCAACCTGGAGAAAAAGCAGGAGCAACGTGGGAAGAGATTCTACAGCACAAGGAGAGGACTCGAGAGGGACCTGCTGTTGTTGGGGCTGCAGCCACAATGACAGCTTATTGCTGCCCCTTTCTGCACTTTCCTTACGAGTGGTGCTTATAAAGGAGGCAACTGTAACTTCCTGACAGCTGGGAGACAAGGTGAAGTCCACAGAGCCTGTTGCCCTGTAAATCTTTACAACTTCTCACTCAGCCTTATCTAGGTAAAGTTACAGGGCGGAGCCTACAGACAGCATTCACATTTCAAGAGTTTTTGATGTTTATGGACGATCATGCTTATTAATAGTAATAAAAAAAAGACAATTTAGGAAATGATTGTAATTTTTGTTGTTGTTGTTGGAATCAAAAGAAGTGCAGCTGTTATCCGACACCAGGGACTGTCTCCAGGGAAATCTTCATTCTGAAGGTCTGGCTTAGATTTGTAAGGCCCACAAATGACAAGCTGAGTGTGGGAGTGTGATTACTAGGAGCCATCAGTGCAGAAGAAGGAGCCTGCGGAGGCCTCAGAGCTCGGGTTTGAACCAGCTTTGGGAAAAGCCAAGGGCCCAGGTAAACCAAGTCTCACTTGGTCACAGGGATGGGAGGTTTAAGAATGTTATTTTAGTAAGACAGGCAAAAACTCTCCAATGCTTTGCTGGGCTCCTGTTAAGTAAGAACTTGGCTACGGTGGCCCAAAAGTGCCATCAGTGTTCAGGCAGACTCATGTCCCAAGTACCCCAATGGGGAAGTTTCATAAACAAAATTTCTGGATTTGTAGTTTGGGGCACTTGATGAGTATCTGAAGTGACATATCTAAATCAGTTAGGTACCTTAGTTTACTTAAGGTAAATGTAACACTGGCCTATTTATTGTAAAATAGAACCACAGACTTTTCGGCTTCAGAAGTCTTGTCTTCTAGATAAAAGTTTCTGAGGCCCAGAACTGAAGCAAGTTGCCCAAGTCACACAGCCAATTAGCTGTTGACTAGGTTTTTTTTGTGGTTTTTTTTTTTGGTAGACGAATTCCTCAGTAACATTAACCGAAGGGGGTGGCGCTATCCCCCATCTTTGGGGGAAATCATCAACATTTCTAGATACTGAATATTACTCACTGACACTCACTGAATATGTACAATACATATGCCAGGCACCATTCCAGGCACTTCACAACTCAATTAGTCATCCTGTCGCCCTTCAGAGGTAAGTATTTTTATTCCTATTTTATAGATGAAGAAGTTGAGGTAGAGCGAGGTTAAGTAAACATGCCCCATGTAAATGGGGAGGGCCAGAGAACATCCTCAACATCAGGTGGCCTGCGGCCCCCACCTTCAACCAGTCTGCTAAAAGCCATTTACAGCCAAAAAACACCAGCAGCAGGCAATTCAGGTCTTTAGTTCTTTACAAAATACGAGTTATTTGGAGAGAAAATTTTTATACAAAGAACACCTATCTTATGTCACAGAATATGAGATCTAGTTGGCTTCCCTGCTGAAAATTAACATCAGCCTAGTTCACTACAGATGTATACAACAGGACTGGACAAATTCAAAATAATTTTTAAAAATCATTTCAAAATAACTATTTCCTAGATGGACATCTGGCACAAATCTAAAACTAAAACATATGATCTGAAACTGTGAATCCTGAAGTCTTTTCCCCCTCCATCCTCGTTTTAAGCTAATAATCAACTAATTTTGATTTACTGGCCTCTACCATATTGTATCCATTAATTTAGCCATTAAATTTCAAGATCGTTTTAGCTTCATTGAGGCTGAAGCCTACATAAAGTTTTACTGCATGGTATACATGACTCCATATGGACACAATCTTGTGACAAAACAAAGTGACGTTTACTCACAGCAGTGGGTTCAGGTTCATGGACACTTCTCTTCTGTCTGCCGTCTTTCTTAGAGTAGCCATTGATTTTACACTCGTAGCATGCTTCCGGGGACAGGGCGTTTTCCTCATCAACCTCCGCATCCAGGGGCAGGTACTGCCCTTTATTAAATCCCATTCCTGAGACGCAGTGGCTATTTGCAAAAAGAAGCAAGGCATTGTGAGACTTTATCACTAACTTGGACATAGTTTTCCTGTGGTAGAGCAAAAGCTTTTCAGAAACGAGAATCCAACACAGCCAACTCTAAGCTCATAAACATCAAAACCTAATATTCTCTGTAACTCTTTTCCTCAACACTTAATATATGAGATTTCTAATTATTTTCTGAGGGTAAGCCCTAAGCTTCCCTAATTTTCTGTTTTTAAATACTTAAAAAAAAATTGAGGATAGTTAGTATACAATATTATATTAGTTATATTAGTTTCAGGTGTGCAACATAGTGATTCGACACTTTTATACCTTAAAATGTGATCATCTGTCACCATGCAAACTTATCACAATATTATTGACTATATTCTCTTTCCCTTTCACCTTTTTCACCGCACCTCCTCCCCTCTGGCAATAACCCCTTTCGTCTCTGTTTCTGAGTCTGTTTTTGTTTTGTTTTTTTAGATTCCACATATAAGTGAAACCATACGGTATTTGTTTTTTTCTGACTTATTTCACTTAGCATAATACCCTCTAGGTCCATCCATGTTGTCATAAATGGCAAGATTTCATTCTTTTTTACTGCCGCATAATATTCCTCTCTGTGTGTGTGTGTGTGTGTGTGTGTGTGTGTGTGTGCGCGCGCGCGCGCGCGCGTGCATCACATCTTCTTCATCCATTCACCTATCGATGGACACCTAGGTTGCTTCCACATCTTGGATGTTGTAAATAAAGCTGCAATAAACATAAGGGTGCATATATATTTTTGAATTAGTGTTATCGTTTTCTTCACAGTCTTCCTCAATTTTCAATCCTAATTGGACTGAATGAAGCACTTGGGTGTAGTTAACTGGGGAAGGTAAAAGCAGAGTATGGATTTCCAAGAAGGCTACGAGAAGTTCGTTGCCCCCAACACAGCTCTCTGCTTTAACGACTGAGATTTCTGGTGAAAGTCAATGTGTTGGCTCTCCGTGACCCTTGTCTAGACCAAGCCTTTGGCTTCAAGCATTATTATGTAGCAACGGTGGACAGGTTGGTCCAGCCCTCTCAGGGCCTGTCTCACACACTGCTCTTTCTGAGAATCACGACCCTGACTGAGGCCTAAATCTCCGTCCTCTGTGCTGTTGGGCACAGGATGCTGTGATGGAAGGATGCAGGTGGCCAGCACCTCTGTCCCAGCCAACAGCGCTTGAAAGGCTGCACTTGGTTGGGAGTGTGTGATTAGCCAAAGGAAACCCAACCCTGTGGAGCCTGCCCCGAGCCGAGCAGTGCCACGCCCACAAGGCAGGTCCTCTCTGTGCAAAATAAAGCCAAATGAGCAAAGAGAGGGACAAACTCCTTCCTCAGGCACTGCTGGGCTCCCACCTGCCAAAATTCCTAGAAGAATCTGAGGAGACGCCATTTCCACTTGTACCTCACAACCCAGGTGTCTATGGCAACATGTGAGCTGCAGTTTTTAAACATCTGCTTGTCTCTGGCCTTGAGGGATCAGACTGAATCAATTCAGGTTTTTCTGGGTGGCAAGAGAGTGTTCAAGTCTTATGGTCACCACAAAGGAGGTAACCCTGTAACACAGATATAATCAATGTGCCTTCTGGGTGCTTCTTCCTCCCATACCCTAAGGGCTCTGATCAACGCTTTTGTCTCTTGGGCTTCTAATCACTGTTTACTTCCCTGCAGGGCCAGGCAGCCCGGCAGCCTGCACTCGGGGAGAAAAGCCTGCATTAGACCACGCCCTGTTGGACCACACTTGCTTTCCTGTTTGCCGGGCGATTGATGGCCTTACCCCTGTCCCACTCTGTAGTATCCGGGCGGGCAGCCGCAGAGGTAGCCCCCTTCCGTGTTGGAGCAGCCGTAATTGCATGGGTTCTTGGAGGACGAGCACTCATTCACGTCGTGGCAGGCACTGGAGAACTGGTCGAAGGAGAAGCCTGAGGGGCAGGCGCACTTGTAACTCCCCAGGGTGTTGTAGCACGAAGCGGAGCCACAGGCGTTCGGATTGGAGCATTCGTTCTCATCTGTGAACACCAAGTAAGAAACACTTTACACTGGGAAGGGGGCAATCGTGAGGAAGAGCGCGCGTCTCAAGCACCTGTGATTTTTTTACAGTGGAAATAACTCTAGACCCACATTTAAGGAATGTATAGTCTGAGGACTGATTTGCAAAACATATGAAAATAAAAAATAAATGAAATGACAAAAACGAACAAATCCTCCTAAACGATGGCTTTAAAAAGCCTTGTCCTGCTCTTTTACATTGTTTGTCCTGTTTCTGAGGACGTGGGTAGCCTTCCAGGGCAGGTATTTGTAGTCTGCCTACTGAAAAAAGTCTTAACAGCAGGTTACTTCCACAGACTTTATCTCAGACGGACTCATTGAGATACAGAGTCGATTGCTAGTTGTCAGAGGCTGTAGGGTTGGAGACATGGATGGAGAATGACTACTAATGGGGATGGAGTTCCTTTTTGCGGTGATGAAAATGTTGTGTGTTGCTCGCTGCACACTCTTGTGAGAATATACTAAAAATCATTGAATGGTATACTTTCAGAAGGTGAATTTTAGGGTACATGAATTATATCTCAGTTAAAAAAACTTGTATCTACTTATATATCTATATTGGTATCCATTCTCCCAGCAAGCCCCAAAGCCTTCATTATATACAGGGAGGAAATATATAGAATAATCTAAACACCCTAAATGAAAATAATTGAAATAAACATTATTTAATTGGATCTATTGAACCAACCATCGAATACACTTTGAACTGCTTGAGGAACCACCAGGGGCAGATTGCGCCTTCGGAGGTGGTTTGCATCCAGCCATCCGCCGCCGACACAGGCTTAATGACTAACGTTATACTGTAAATGCCTGACAGCAGCATAATAATAGGTTACACCTTCAGCTGCACTTACCATTTGTAAAAATTCAAAACCTGACGGTGCTTTTAACTTTGGAGATTATAACTTTGCTCTTCGTTTTCTGGTTGATATACATCAAGCATGTGGCTTGACTCCTCTGGGCTTTACTATAACCCACATTTCACCCCGGGCACACGTCACAGCTGTTCTGTGGAATTCTTTCAAATACTGTGACTCCAGTGGAGCACAGTGTGTATGTTTACTTAATATATGAAAAGTGTATGTTTCAGCCTATGTGAAGGACTGTTCCCATTTGCAAGTAGGCGTGCGTCTGGGACACAGCAGCTGAGGGAAGTGCAGCCGGGAAGGGGCTCAGTGAGGTGATGGGAGATGCAGATGGCATCTCAGTGAAGAGGCCTCTCAGACAGGAAATTAAACTCCATTAAGGATAGCACAGAGGTTACGGAAAGGGTAGATGTTATTAGGCACATTTTTGTATCATGATTATAGTTTCAGAATTAAATCAGACTGCCAAATGTAGAATTCTTAATCACTGGATATAAAATCTGCTATTGTTATCCACCATGGACACATTTTTCACCTTCATTTCATGGAAAGTATGTAAATGAATTCTTAATAATTCAGCTACCTAAGACATAAATATAACTGCTATTTTATTTTCAAATATAGAAGACTTGGAATTCTGCCAAGGCTCATCTGCTTTTACAATCAAATCTGACATTTATATGCACTGTTTCTCTCCTAACAGAGAATGTAAATTAGGCTATAATTTAATAAAATGATCCTTCTATGAATACAGTACATTACACATCATGTTAAGTAGAAAACTTACCAGGCAAAACCAGTTAATGGAATAAATTTTATTTTAACATACCAGTGACAAGAATATTTTAAAATACGTAATATTTTTGGAAGCACTATGATATACTTCACATTTATATGTTATAAACATACATCATGGTGTAATTTTATAGACTTAGGTAGTCTGACTTTTAATATATCTTCTTGTGTGACACATACTTTGAGTTGACTCATTAAGCTATGTTCAAATTATTTCTGAAAGGCCATACAAGCAACTGGAAGTTACTAACACTAAATAACTAAAAGCTTCATTTATTAAGACATAAGTTTTCTTCACATGCAAATGTTAATAATATTAGCTTGTTTTCAATTTTGAATAATTATAATGCTTGCAAATATTTGAGAATGTTACGTACGTCTGTACCATCTATGCACTAGAATATTTTAAATGTTCGGTGGTAACTAGATGGAAACTTCTTAAAGTGTTCAGTTGAATTAAAAGCTTTTTTTAGTATTAACACTGACAAAAAACTATCATATTTCTTAAATTGTAAGTGATATTAACATTATAGGTTTACAACGTAACAGTAAATTATCTGATGCATTATCTAACAATTTTTTCTGTATACTAGGAGACCCCAGATAAATCTTCCTGAAATACTTCCTTCTATATCTCTCCTTAATCATATGAATGATTGAAGATATTCACACACATAGTGACAAATAAAAATGATTTGTGGCCTTTAAATTTGCATTTTGTCATAATTCTTTTTCTTCTGCTATCTTGTTGCTTTTATTCCTGATGGGTTGTTTAATTATATTCCTGCTATGTATCTGAGTTAAAATTTCTACTGTGTTCTATGGATTCAAGGCAAGAAAGTTAGCAATTTTATTAGAGACCAGCTGGATTCCTCAACCCTGCACAGAAGAATCTAGAACCTTTTGAATAAATCCCTGCCGTGTATTGCTTACCTAGAGGCCTGCTGCTTAGAGGTGCCCATTTTAGCAAAGCAAGCTCACAAATGAATACTTGCAGTTGGAAATAATACTTGCAGTTGCTTATGTATCTTTAGTTTTGAATTCATCTTGGAAACCACTTATCCTTCTGTCCATAGAGTCTCTTCTGAGTAGAAGGCACTCGGCTTCTGGCTGGACTCCAGCGTGAGCTGCCCTGGGGTGACTGCCTTGCGGAGGTACCCACTCTAAGGATCCCACAAAGGCAAACTGGGATATATACCACACAGCTTTGATTTTAAGCCAGACCAAGTTGAGTGAAAACCTGTGCAGTTATTTTTGCAACTAGATGTTTATAGACAGAAACTTCAGGAAACTTAAAAAACTGGAAATTCAAATGATAACTCCATACATGTTCCTAGTTCTACTTATATTGCTTGAAAAACAACAATTCTATTTAAGCTGACACATGAAATATTACAGGATCATTCTTTTGCCTTAAGTTCCATAGAATGAACCAAGAAGTCCATGGTGTTTGCTAAATAAAGTGTTGGGCCTCCCATTTTATAAGCAATGCAATATAATGAAATTAGTTTATACTATTTTAATGGCTATCTAAAAAAAGTACCATCCCCTATATTCTGAAGAGTATGCCTACACTTTGCCTCTGTTTATGAATCCATAAATCAGGGCATAAGAACTTTTGCAACATTTATTTTTCTGTGAAGAGAAAAAGATGGAAATTAAACTTATGAAATTAATTTTAATGACTCACTCATCATTGTAATAATCCTTTAACACTTTGTCCTTTACCTCTTGATCATTAATGCGTTCTGCGTTTCCCCCGTAAGTGTGTATTTGTTGTGTGGCAAAGCATCTGACTTTAACCTTGTACAAGGCCACAGAATGATTGTGACTTTCAGAATTGGTTTCCCACCTTTGAAATTTACCTTGATTTTTTTTTTTCTAAATTCACTAAACTGTCATTTGAAATTTCTTTTAAGAAGGCCGTAAAGGATAAACTCAGATTAATTTACTTAGTGGACTGCTTACAGTGAAATATGTGAAGTGTATGTGGGATAACTGAAATCACCGCAGAGGAACAGGAAGTGCCTGCCATTTCCCTGCAGGGCCACTGTTCCCTTGAGCTCAGTCACGCAACGATGTAATAATGTCACAGTGTGTTGGATGGCGTGTCTACGAAGTGCATTCAAACAGAACCAAGCAACTAGGCAGCTAAGTAAGTCAGCTGGTTACCCAAGTTGAGAATAGTGTTAAAGGAGAATTTCTGTGACCATCATCAGTGCAAGGAACAGAGAAGAGTGTCCACAAATTTTACTTTACAAACACCTGTGTCTGGAGTTTTCAACAGAATTTGCTGTGACTAGGTACTATTTCTACCTTAAAATACTTCACCTCCTTCATTACATTTATGTGATTGGACAGCACTGGTGGACAGTCCTCATTAATTTGATCTGACTTCCTTTAGATTTGCATGAGGGGGATTGATGGGTAAGCCTTAACCCCAAATCTAAAGATATTAAATTAGTGATAAAAAGCCCCTGACCTTGGCAAATGAAGATGATGATGATTCTTGACACCACCTTCAGAAACTTAAAATAACATCTACCAGAAAATACAAATTATAAAAGCTCTAGTTGGGTTACATTTTAGGGGCTTAAAACCCCATTCTTAGGATGGATGTTTTCAAACATACTCAAGTGTAAGGTCCCCACTCATCACTCCTAAGTATTGGTTTTCAAGTTCTAGGTTTCAGAGGTTACACTGAAACATCCACCTTTATTATTTGTTCATTTGACTCAAAGATACTTTCAGGTGAGATGCTATGTGACTCACCGACACACTGATTCCACTGGTAATGCTGAATATATCCTTGAGGGCAACCACATCTGTAACCTCCCAGGATGTTCTGGCAGCCATGTTGGCACCTATGGTTTCCATCACATTCATCAACATCTGCAAAAACAAGCCCAGCAAGATCTTTCTGTGACCTTTTTCTACTATTCTTCTATACATGCCACACATAATCTGGGGACCAACATTATCAGGGGACCAAACAAGCAAGACACACGGAGAGAGAGGCTGTGATTTTTTTCTGCATCACATGGTTCTTGGCCAGTGGTGGTACAAAGAATGGTTCTGCGACAAGAAAGGACCTCATTTGTGTGCTCCCCACCAGACCATGCCATGTCAGTGCTCTATAAAAACATCTTAATTTCAGCATAACCACCATGAATGTTGTGCATTTTGGATGGATTAACTTGTATATGGTCTGATTTATTTGCTAAGTGATATATTTGCATTACATAGTCTAGTCGATTTGAAAGTGATTGACATGTAATCCTCATTTTCAGGAAGATAACAAGCACTAGAGAAATACCTAAAAAGTATAATTGTTTTGCATGCAAACATTTTTAGTATCATTCAAGATTAATTAGATGCAAATTTAAAGTATTTGAATGTTATTTTTAGATACGATGTGGTATTACTACACATATGGAATAATTTCTTTGTTCATACGTGCATACGCTTTTGGAATGACAACTGAGGCTTTGAAATCTACCCATAAAGAGTGAAATAAAATTGGCATGTCTGATGTGTATGTAACAAATTTATATGGATAATTAATAAATGGTATCTTATGTGGATAGTCACAAGCTGAACTCACACGTGGCAAGCAGCTGTATGTTCAATGACTTCAAATATAAAATATTAACATAGGAATCTTAAAACTGAATTTTTCTTGGCTGCAAATTAGATATATAAAAATCCAACACTTCTTATAAAGAGTATATTAAAACTTTGACTATATTTCTAGGATTCATAATCATATAGTATTTCTAAGAATAAGTAATTAAAGGGTGGCTAAAATCAATAAGAACATAAATTGCAATATTATATAAAATATAAAAGAAATGTAGATAGTCTCATGATCTCTGGTATGGGTATTTTGTAAAAGACACCAATCCCAATAAATGTGTCTTATGTACTAGCACTTGCAATGGAAATATTGAAGAACCATAGGCAGATTATTATTTTATTACCAACCATAGGCAGATTCTTATTTTATTCCCACTTAAACGTTCCCTTGTACGTCATACTGCTGGGGAGATTTTAGAGAAAATGCTCACTGTAGAAAAGGTAGTGAATCAGGAGACTCAGACCAAATAACATGGAAATAACTGTAAGTTTTCCCCAGTGCTTTCAGTACATTTCTCCAGTTCTCTAGGATAATTGGTTCTTTTTCTTACCCTTAATTTTTACGCATTTAGGTACCATGGAACAAAAGTCCCATTATTTTTTTCTGGTATACTCGTACAGTACTCTAAACCATAGTAGGTAAAGAATTCTTTTTCAGTTCAATTCTTTTTTAGATCAATAATTAGGTAAACAGCTCAGTTATTTTAAAAGCCAATTTGTACTCACCAAAATTTTGTTTCATCACATTAAAGTTTTCCTCTGCCCTCCAAATGATATATGAACAAAAATCCATTGCTGGGTTCTGTTTTGTTAAATACATTTTTTTTCTTTTGAGATAATCACAATTTCTCATTTAGTGGCTTAGAAGTAAAAAGAAAAAGGTCTGCTCTATGAGATTAAGGATTTGTGAGCAAATAAACTCACCTTCACAGTTGAGTCCAGTGGCATCAAGGGAGAAGCCTCTTTGGCATTCACAGCTGAAACTTCCAGGGGTGTTTTGACAGATCCCCTTGGCTCCACAAAGGGAAGGCTGGGACCCACATTCATTGTTGTCTAGCAAAGCACGAAGGAGGAAAGAGTCAACCCTCCCAATTATTACACGATGCAGATTTCACTACGTAAGTAAAAAGTGAAAAGTTTCACGATGTGAAAACAGCATTTTAGGGAAATGGATGCCAGGATTCACTGTCATATTAAAGACAAAAATAATAAGAAAAAGCGTATTTCAAGAGATTTGAAATTAGAGCATATTTTGGGTTGACTGAGGACATGGGTTTTGATAATACAGACAGAAAGTTCTTTAACATACATGTATTCTAACATAAAAACCCAGCATGTTCATTATCATGTTCAAAATTACAGTGAACTTTTAATCATATTTTATCTGAATACACCTGGCTTATTTAGAGTGCAATAGAAAGGCACTGCTTGGAATATGCCTACTGTGTGTGTGTGCTTGGACCATACAGGCCTTTCTTCTTTTGGATACTGTTCCCATGAAAAAACTATCTATGTTAATTAGCAACATTTGTAGACCATTAATTATGAGGGGCTGGTTAATATATATAAGTACTGAGTTAATAAATATAAGTACTGAGACATTATTCTACCATTTTAAGTACAATTTGTATGCCTCTAACAAAAGTCGGTAAAATTTCCCACTTGTAGTTTTGTCTCACCAATACAAGCAGTGTGATGCTGTGTGAAACCAGGTGGGCATTTACAGGTAAAACCTCCCAGAGTGTTGACACAGAGGAACTGGCAGTTGTGCTGTTTGGTGTGACATTCATCAAGGTCTGAAAGGAAAGAGAAGCCCATGAAAATCAGAGCAGTGTTATCTGGCCATGTATCGTTTCTCACCAAGACACAGGAGGGGTGCATGTTCTACCAGGTGTATTGGGTCTAGATTTTTGCTGGAAGTTTTACAGATGTCAATATGCATAGGGCAAACAGTTTCTTTTCACATACTAAAGCAACATAAATATTATGGGCTGCTATGATACGATGCTGAAGGTCACAAACAACACAAAGTTTTCTTAAAAAAGAAATCAAATGGATGAATCACAGCGATTTCCATGAACTCTTCTCAAAATTAATATCCAAAGGTTCTAATTCTTGCATTTAATGCACAGTTTAGTACATGGCTGGTCACTTATTCCTGTTAAAGGAGGGGTTAAATAAAAATAGAATGAAAACTGAGAAAGGTCTTAACACAAACATTGAGTCAGGTTCTCAGAATCCAAACGAAAACACCTTCATAAATACCCGAGGAAGCAAAACCATAGCATCTGTAGTTCTAGTTATAAATGGAATATTTGGACTATAATAACAGAAAACTCAAAATGTGATTTTGGTTAGATTGGAACTTCAGATGGGAAAATATATTTAAATAAATTTACAAAGCAATGTCAGATGTAGGTAGGACCAATTCATTATTTTAAAGCTTAAAAACACACACACTTTAGTTATACTTATTTATAAACAATGTGAAAAATTAAATTAACTCATAATGTTCACTAAATAGGCACAAGAGAGTAGTCCTGCTTGCTACTTAATTTATCTTTTGGTACTTCTTGGGAATATAACTTCATTTTCTTGAGAATAATTTGTATTTCAAAAAATTTAGTTAGATAGCAATTTCCTTAGTCCATTAATTTCATACTGAAAAGGTTTTATATAAAATGGAATATATGAGTACAGTATTGGAGCTATTTTAATTATCTAACTTAGTTTGATGATTATTTTTAACACTACCTAAGCAAAAAATTTAAATTGACCAATTCATTTTCAGTCTTTGGCAATAACTGTGTCATATAGTTAACAGAAATAAAATCTTAGTTAAGGAACAACAACAAAAAAGTCTTGTTTTTGTTGTCTCAAAATCCTCTCACCCAAATTTTTTGTTTTGTTTAATTTTATTTATTTTCACATTTGTGAGGTTTGTTGAAAAGAAGCCAGCCCCTGGAACTTGGGTTTTCATTCTCCCTGCCTCCTACCAGGTGTACTTTGCTAGAATTTTCTATGAGTAATAAAATGGTCACTAGGAAGACGAGCTTTAATGAAGGTGGTACACATGGCATAACCCTGATTAGCTCACTTGGAATCCAAAAAAAGAGAGACAGACAAGGGTCCCAAACAGCAGAGACTCTTCCCACCTTTGCATGTCTTCCCGTCCTCCTGCAGGACGTATCCCCGCGGACATGAGCACTGGTAACTCCCCTCGGCGTTCTTGCAGATGAAATTGCACGGTTTCGGGGACTGGGAACATTCATCAAGATCTAAGTAAAAGTGACGCGAAGATTCAATTCTTGGTGAAGAGAAACAACCAGCCTCTTTCCTCCTCCTCCATATCCCTCCCTCTTCAACTCAAAATGGAAAACAGCCAGAGAGAAATGATGCACACATTTTTCACTCAAGTAATAAACTGTCTTACTTTGTAGATCAATTCATGGCTCTTGGATAAATATTTTATTGATAGCTGTCTGCGTTCAAAGAACCCCACTATATTCTTTAGGTTAATGTACTTTGGTTTGCAATTTGAGAACCATAAACAAGAGTTTGTTTTGACCTGTGGATGTGGCAAAAGTTCTCTTAAACTCTGCAGGCTGACACTCCCCTAACGGTCTTGTGGGCCACGGGCTGTGCTGGAAGTCTCCCACTTTCCCCTCCAGGTCATTCCTCACCCTGGTCATGGGCCCAGGAGGCTGCTTTCTTTCTTTTCTTTTTTTTTAAATTAAATTTATTGGGATGACAATGGTTAGTGAAGTTACATAGGTTTCAAGTGTGCATTTCTATAATACATCATCTGTACATCACATTGTGTGCTTACACGCAGAGTTACCAGAGGGTGAGGGAGGCGGGGGCGTGGCAGAAGAGGGTAAAGGGGGTCAAACCAATGGTGATAGAAGGAGAACTGATTCTGGGAGGCTGCCTTCTTACTCTGGCTGGTCCTATTGCCTCAACTCCCTCCTTGAAAGGTGGCCTCAGCTTGACTGGGTCGTTGGATCAGAGGTCACAGCTCCTCTCAAGGCAGCCCTCGTGTACATTATTCTTCCAGGTGTCAATAACCTCTCCCTCTTTTCTTTTGGCCCAGATGTGGTGCAGCCCCAGCACCTTTATAGACAGTCTCTTTGTTAAATCCTCCTTAAATGGTTCTCATTTGAATATACCACCTTTTTTCTGCTAGGACTCTGATAGCAAACAATCTCATTTCCTCTGTACAATGTATTAATGGAGGTCCACAGAATGCTGAAAGCTCATGATTAATAGCCTGTTCTCTATTACTTTCATGCCCAACCTAGTGGTTTTTCTTAATCTGTTCATGCCAGGTGTGCTTGTTATCGAAACAGGTACTTTAATGGACTATCACGTAAGTTGATGAAATATGGAGAAAAGATGTTTTTCTTTAATTAAAACTAAACTGAATGCTTTGGAGATATTCAATAAAGGCAGGTCACCCCACCCCCAAATTGTCATAGGATGGTGTGGGTGAGAAACTATAAAAAATTAAATTAAAAAAAGAGACTTTTAAAATGTAAGACGGCTTCTGTACTGAAACTGCTTTGAACTTGGAAATTTTAGAAGATGCTTAATTGGTATATTTTATGCAAAAAAAAAAAATCAATGAGGAACAAACCCAAAGCATTCTCTCTCTATATGCAAACACACACTCACAATCAAAAGCCCTTTTCTTTCATCAAAAAATGACAAAAAAGTCATTTACTCATCTTAAATTAAAATATAAAGTGTTGAAAGTATATTTTTAATAATTTTTATGTTGCCTTGATTGTACAGATTTTTTGATGGATTCACCAGTTTTGTGTCCCACATTATTGGACAAGGCCTTGTACAATTACTGAGATATTAAGAACCGCATTATTGAGAAGCATGTGAGATCTTGCTCCCCGGCATATGTCATCATGTTGGCTCAAACAAACTCTTATAAAAATTCTCTCTCTAAAAAGAAAAGGAACCACATTGTTGAAAGGAATGGCATCATTTTAATAAAACGTATATTCCACAGCTCCATAATAAAGATACTGTACTGACAGGAAGTGACTTGCAGGAAGCAGTTGACAAACCCCCAGCTGTAGAGATGCCTCGCCTTACCTACACACGAGGTGCCGCTGATGTCCGTGGTGTAGCCAACCTTGCAGAAGCACCGGAATGACCCCATGGTATTGATGCACTGACCATTGGTGCAGAGATTTGGCATAACCTTACATTCGTCAATGTCTGTGAAACAAAACAAAAACAAAAAGAAGTTAATATATATGTGAGGATAATACTGGTTAGGAACTAAGAGAAATTACGGAACTGACATAAGATGACTAACAACCAACATTCATGAATGAGTATTGAGTATCTTTTCATCTTGTAGATGGCTGGCAACATGGAAGGGTTAGAAAAGTAAACTGAAGCAATGGGGAGAGATAAACCATTGACAGCTATGTGTTGAAAGCTCTTTTGAAGTTTACTCATTTTGCAATCTAAGTATGAATTATTTTGGGGGCCCTAGAAAGCTACATTTGTGAATTTCAACGGATTTGGAATTCGTGATAATTTTCCATGGATTGGCCTCAAATCTGCACTTGCATTAGACTCCGAAGAAAAGGTTTTATTAGTAAAAATCACACGGGTATACGTATAGTAATAGAGGAAAATGGTATTTTTCAGGACATTAGTACAAAAAAGTGGAAACCTCTAATCAATTATAACACTTGCTGGCTTGTAAATATGTTGCAAACAGAATGAGTTCCGGTGCACACTCAGATAAATAAGCAACATTTATTTAAATAAATATAGTTTGGGGGTTACAAGCATGGCCTTTGGGGTCAGTCAGGTATGTCCCAATCCTGGGTCCATCCCTTAAAAGGGGTGTGATCTTGGGAAAATGGCTTGTTACCTTAGCTTTGGTGCTTTACGTTTCCTCATCTGTTAAAAGGGGAATAATACATTCTACCTCTTAGAATTGATGTGAATATTCCATCTTTTAAAGTCTCTAAAGCATTAGCAAGAAGCATATACAAACACATATGCATATAAATATTTTAGTTATTATTACTGTATCAAGTTTTCCACTTTTCCTTCAAATTAATCTGAATTAATGAAGTGCATTGTGTTGATAATATGCATGACTTTCCTCAACTCCTTACCTCGTCCATCAGTAGTGTACCCTGGGCCATGAGGACATATCTTTTTGTACTGGGCAGTTCCAGGAAGTGGGCAAAGCTCACACTGGTGACCCCAGCCCCGGCCCCCATCGCAGCAGCATTCTGACTTTGTGACCAGGTTTCGGCTACTGGACGCCATCTGACACATTGTCTGCAGTACTTCTGCAAAGCAGAGTCCCTGTCGGTTGTCTGAAATGACAAGGTAATAAGTCAATCAGCACCAGTGCCATGGATCCAACACTTCACTATTTTGACCTTCAAATTAAATAGGACAATCAATACTTGCCTTCTCAGCAATAATTTTTAATGAAAATGGTTTATAATGTATGCATTATAACATAAAACAATGTCTGAGATTCATATTTCCACAGGAAAATATTTTCTGAAACATTTTTCTGTACCATAAAATAAAAATGAACCTTCATGGCATTTTTGAAATATGGCATTTACTTTAATATCATTAATACAGCAGAGCTGACCTCACATCGCAAATATTTTCTTTTGGAATTAAATCATCCCCTGATGTAAGTTTTACTAAACTCACATTTTCCATAGTTTAATTAATCTTAATTTTGGGAAGACTATTTAAGACGGTTATTTACATTACACATAGATGTGCATACAACACACACACGTACAAATACGTCATTTTAGTAGATGTGTATCTTTAGGAAGAGGCATGTGGATTACTCAGATTGGGAGATTTGTTTAGCAGACAAGGATATATATGTAGAGCTCTTCTGTGATTACATCATAAAACAGATGTTTTATTTACCAAGTAAAATATACTCGTATATCAACTTACCAAGGCATTCAGTACCCGAGGAACTTGACTGAAATCCTTCATTACACTCGCACCTATAACTCCCAATAGTGTTGACGCAACGCCCATTTTCACAGATTCCTGGCTTGGTCCTGCATTCATTTTCATCTTTAGGAAAACAAATAATGTGAATAATGAGCAGATTGTAAAATTGTAATTTAAAATTATCTTCTAATGGGTTATATCTTATTTAAAGCTTCTTCACCAAAATACTAATATGATATGATAAAAACTTCTTATGTGCGAATACTGCTTCATTTTCAACTTTACTTCCTTTTTCCAGGTGGGTTCTTTCTTAACAAAGTATTTCCTTTTTTTTCCCTCCCCACCTTTTGGGGATGGGGTGGTGTTAGACGGAGAATTGGAAAATTGGCCTCCACAAGGAATAGGCTTGCCCTGAGACACCAGACAAGGAGGGGAAAACTTTGGGGAAGAGGATGTCAGTTTTTGTGATAAACAGAGAAAGGCTGGGGGCTCAGAGATGTGTCAGGGGGAGGGTGATGGCAGGGTAAAAGAGCAAAATGGTTTTATTAAAATTCTCTATATCCTTCCTTATTGTGTCTATTTCCTATTTTGTAAATTTTGTTTGAGGACTTTTTTTCCGAAGCCATGTTGTTAGGGGCTAAAGAGAGTTCATGGCAATGGAATCTTTTTGATAAATTGGTTTTTTTTAATCTTTACACTTTTTAATTATCTAAATCTTCAATTTATTGATATTTATTTTGCATGCTTTCTTTTTAACAATATTTATCTTCAATGGCTTATTTTCAATCTATCTCACATTTTGATTTGTTATATTTTTTGTAAAAAATACAAACCTGGATTTAAAAATGATTTTTAAAAGTACATTTATCTATCAAACTAGCAGGTTCAACTATTTGTATCTATTATGATTACTGATGTTTGGATTCTTACCTGCCATATTATATTGTTATATATTTACCATGCTATTGCCCTCTTCTCGCAATATGTCTTAAAACAGTCGTTTTCTATGTGCTCCTCTCATCCCCAACTCATGTTTGAAAGTTACAATCTTCTTTCTATTCTTGCAGTGGTAACTATGAAACAACTTCAGTACACACTCTTAATAAATACTTTTCTATCATTATCAGTTTCAAATTCCTGGCAGTATCAATACCTGAGCATGAGTTTACTTCTGTTCTCTCCCTGTGGCAACTGCCATGTTGATATGATCTAGAAATTTTGGTTTGTTATATTTTTTATGCACCATGAGCATCTAATTTAACCAAATAATGAGGTTTACTGGTTTCTTGATTCACTCCTGCTTCATGTATACTACTACTTCCTCTTGGATTAAATTTTAAAAAGGGTATTAGAGTATATAGAAGTATGTGTGTGGTAAATATTCTGAAACATATTTCTGACTATTTCTTATTTTGTTTGTGACTTGGATTGAATACAGAATTTTAGTTCAAAATTATTTTTCCTTAGAGTTTTAAAAAAGATTTTTATTAAAAATATAGCTAACATGCAATATTATATTAGTTTCAGGGGTACACCATAGTTATTCAACATTTATATACCTAAAGAAGTGATCACCATGATAAGTCTGGCCACCACCTGACACCATAACACACTATCACAATATTATTGACTATATTCCCTATGCTGTACATTATATCCCTATGACTTACCTGTTTTATACCTGGAAACTTGGGTCTCTTATTCCTCTTCAACTCCCCCTCCCTTTTTAAGTTTTTCAATTACAGTTGAAGTTCAATATTATTTTATAATAATTTCAGTCTACAGCATAGTGGTTAGACATTTATATAATTTAAGAAGTAATTCTCCCTGACTAGTCTAGTACCCACCTGGCAGTATACATAGTTATTACAATATTATTGCCTATATTCCTTATGCTATACTCTATATCCCTATAACTACTTTTTAACAACCAATTTGTACTTCTTAATATCTTCTCTTTTTATGCACACCCTCAACTCTTCTCCCATCTGACAACCATCAAAATGTTTCCTGTATCTGTGAGTTTGTTTCCATTTTATTTTGTTCTTTAGATTCCACATATAAGAGAAATCACATTGTATCCATCTTTCTCTGACATACTCCACTCAGCACAATACCCTCCAGGTCCATTCATGCTGCCGTAGATGGCAAGAACCCAATCCCTTCCATGGCTGAGCAATATTCCATTGTATATATGTACCACCTCCACTTTATCCATTCATCCATAGACAGACACCCAGATTGCCTCCACATCTTGGTCATTGCAAACAATGCTGCAATGAATATATGGATACCCATGTTCCCTCAAAGTAGCATTTTGGGTTTCTTTGGATAAATACCCAGAAGTGAGATTACTGGATCCTTCTTTGTCTCTTGTTATAGCCTTTGCTTTAAAATCTATTTTGTCTGGTATAAGTATTGCTACTCTAGCTTTTTGTTTGTTTCCATTTTCATGAAATACCTTTTTCCATCCCTTTACTTTCTATCTGTATGTATCTTTCAATCTGAAATAAGTCTCTTGTAGGCAGCATATGTAAGGGTCTTGTTTTCTTATCCATTTAGCCCTCCTATGTCTTTTGATTGGAGCATTTAATCCATTTACATTGAAAGTAATTATTGATAGATATGTAGCTATTGCCATTTTATTATTCATAAGTTTGATCTTTTTTTCTTCTTTTTGTCTTAAAGTCCCTCTGAGATTCCTTGTAATACTGGTTTGGTGGTAATGAACTTCTTTAGCATTTTCTTGTCGGGGAAGATCTTTATCTGTCCTTCAATTTTAAATAACTTTGCTGGGTAGAGTAATCTTGGTTGTAGGTCTTTGCTTTTTCAACATGTTGAATATTTTGTGCCAATCCCTTCTGGCCTACAAAGTTTCTGTTGAGATATCAGCTGACAATCTTATGGGAGCTCCCTTATATGGGAGCTGCCTTTCTTTTGCTGCTTTTAGGGTTCTCTTTGTCTTTAACCTTTGCCATTTGAATTATGATGTGTCTTGGTGTGGGCTTCTTTGGGTCATCTTGTTTGGGACTCTCTGTACTTCCTGGGCTTGTATGTCTATTTCCTTTGCCAGGTTAGTAAAGTTTTCAGTCATTATTTCTTCAAATAGGTTCTCAATCCCTTGCTTTCTCTCTTCTTCTTCAGGTACCCCTACGATGGGAATGTTGTTACACTTATGTTATCCTAGAGATCTCAAGTATCCTCATTTGTTTGGATTCTTTTTTCTTTCTGCTGTTCCGATTGGGTGTTTTCTGCTACCTTATCTTCCAAATTGCTGAGTTGATCCTCTGCTTCATCTAGTCTGCTGGTGATTCCTTCTAGTGCATTCTTCATTTCAGTTATTGTATTATTTCTGACTGGTTCTTTTTTATGGTTTGTCTTTTTTTTTTTAAGATTTTATTGGGGAATTGGGGGAGGGGAACAGCACTGGAGAATCAGGGAAGGGGAAAGGACAAGCTGCTTTCCTTCTGTTCTTCAGTCTAGTTGTGGAGGACGTTGCTTCACTGGCCCATGTTGGTATCATGATTGTTGAACTCTTCCCGGTTGAGGCAGTTGGTCACCAGCCGCTCATGGTGGTTCACAGCAGCTTTGCCAGCTGCTGGCCACTCACGCTGACTGCCGGCCACTCACGGTAGCCCACTGCAGCAGGGGCTGCAGCCTACACTGTCGCTGGCCACTCACGGCAGCCCAGCTCCAGGTCGAGCTGTTCACAATCTTAGCTGTAGAGGGTGCAGCGTCACTGGCCCATGTGGGAACCAAACCAGTGGCCCTGCTACTCAGAGTTCATGCTTCCAAGCCAACTCTTAACCAACTGAGCCACTTGGCCGGCCTCTCTATGTCCTTTTTTATGCTTACTATCTGTTTGTTGAAGTTCTAAGTTCCTTGAGCACCCTTATAACCATTATTTTGAACTCTGTCTCTGGTAGTTTGTCTCCATTTTGTTTAGGTTTTTTCCTGGAGTTACCCTGTTCTTTCATTTGGGACATATTTCTTTGTTTCCTCATTTTGGATGCCTCTCTGTGTTTTTATGTATTAGGTAGACCTGCTATGTCCTCCAGTCTCAGCAGGTCACCTCATGTAGTAGGTACCCTGTGGGACACTGGAACAGTCTCCCTGGTTACCTGTGCTGGGTGCTCCTGAAGTGTGCCTTGTGTGGATTGTGTGTGTCCTCCTGTTATAGTTGAGCCTTAATCATTATTGGCATGTCAGTAAGTTGCATTGACCCTTAGGCTGATTGGCTGTGGGGTTTGACCCCATCCACAGCTTATGGTCTGCTGTAAGGGGGGCTTACCCCCTAAGTGGAATTCGCCTCAGTGGGCTCTGGTGCCTGTTGAGACTGCCCTGTGTATGTGCCACTTGTGGGGCTAATTAGGTGGTGCTCTGCTGTGGTCTATAGCCAACCTCCAACTATGTTGTTTCTGGGGTCTTTTGGGAGTGGCTCTGGTGCAGGCCCGGGTCACCCACTGCCTATGACTGGCCAGTGGCTACCTGGTAAGCGCTACAAAGGAATCTGTGCTTGTTTGCTTCCTGTGCTAACCCTGGAGGTGTGTAGGAGAGGCCATGCTGCAAATGAGGAAGTCTGCCACCAGTACCAAGCCTGGAGTAGCTCCGCAAAAAGCCAGGACACTCCAAATCCTGCTGCCACTTGCTGACTCCCTTAAGGTTCAACCACTGATAAATACTCGTGCAGTACTCAAATTGGGTGAGGCTGGGTCCCTTAGAATGTTTTAAAAAATATTGTTCCATTGTTTTCTTTTACCCAGCGTTACTGTTCATTTGTAAGAAATCTGGTTTTCTTTCTAAAGAGAAAATAATTTAGGATTTTCTTTTTGCTCTTAGTGCTTTGGAATTCATCTTGATGTGTCTTGATGTAGATATTTATTTGCCTTTTAGGGAAAAAAAACTTATTACAAAAAATTTAAGTATATACAAAAGTATTGAGCTAAGTTATGGATTTAAATAATTGTATAGTGTCTGTTATTTCTAGAACTGAGGGTTCAAGGTCTGTCTTCTTGATTAAAATCTATTGCTCATTCACCTTTATTTTAATTGTTTGAATTATTTTTTTCAAAAAGGACTGTTGTTGGATATACTGCCTGGGTTCCTCCATGTTTCATAATGAA